GTTACTTCCCAGGCCAACTTAGTGCTCCAGCTAAAATGCAGTTGCAGTATGACTCTAGCTCGTTCCATATCTTCATCGTCCTATTTTTCCCGGCTCTTTATTTTCCCTATCTTTAATACTATTTCAAAATATTTTCTTATAATAAAATCTTTGTTACACGGTTTTCAAAGAATGTCGTATGACTTTATCAAATATTTAAAGCAAACAGAGGAAAATATTCCAGTTTTGTTTGCGGTTATACTTTGCATACTGGATACACAGCCTCTTTTTCGCGTCGTTACAATTTTAAAGCTCAACTCAAAGCGTCCGCTAAAAATTTCAACTGTTTATATATGTAAATAACAGAATAAGGGTGAAAATCGAGCACTTTTTCCATCTGATGGTAAGTGGATGCTGTGACCCATAGACACCTGATGAGATTTATCATCAATTAAGAATCGAAATGCAGATGTGTTTTCACCTCTGAGTACTAAGATGGAATGCTTCGTTTCCAGTAAAAAGGGTCTCCGGTTCTCTGAACTCATTCTACTAAAAACGGCAGCATTATTCTACTATTTTACGTTGTTATTCTGTGAGGACACCGGTTGAGCCGATCCATTTGTAATACATATATACATAGACACTCACGACTGTCACCAAGAGGGGTTAGCAGAGACTACAGACTTCCATTTGGCACGATCCTGACACACCTCTCTCGCCTCCTTCACATCCATATACCTACGCATACATGCTCGTCGGTTAAGGATACTCCTAATTTGGCCCGTATTCAATAAATCGCCAATTTGGTCGATTACTTTTCGCCTAGGACGTCCCTTTCCGAATCTGTCATTCACTTCTGCAACATAAATTTTCTATGTCACTCTTTCCTCATTAATTCTTTCCACATGACCAAACCACCGAAGCATTCCTTTCTTTATCCCGGTCACAACATCATCTTGCAAACCACACTCTTCTCTCATCACACAATTTCTCACCTCGTAATTCAGATTCAGCTCTAACATACCCCACCTACTTATAACACCTACACCTTTGTACTACAACCATAATATAGTTGCAACGTAGTTCTATCAACTAAAAAACTTTTATACTGGTAGGTTGTCCTTTCACAGTTCTCTGAACGATGTTATCCGATGAGCTCTTGTTCCCTCGGTTTAAGAGCTTTGTAGAATATTTAGAGACGGTGGCAGGAGACCCGACGCTACGACTGTTCCCTCGGGAGTAAGGTAAGCCCTTAATGTGGGATGCTACCCGCCTGGTCACCTTGGTAGCCTCTCATCTCAGGGGTACTTCGTTTAGAGCCGGGGTGGCTCAAACGGCTGAACTGAGTAAGTAGCGCAAGTGTGAGTTTCTGAGAGATGACTAAAAATTTGTGCCATTTGCTGTAGAAACTATCGGGCCGTGGGGTTCACGTAAGGTCAAGTTCCTAAAGGAACTGTTTTCGCGACTTGTTGTTGTTGCTGATGATAAGAGGGCTAGATTTTTTCTCGCTCAAAGGCTAAGTATAGCCATTAAGTGAGGAAACACAGCCAGCTAACTGAACACTGTACCAGGGGGGATTTATGATACTTTAAGTTTTAAGCTTAATTTTTTCATAATAAATTGTGTTTAAATAAATGTTATGTAAATAAGTATAAAGTTTATGACATTTTTTATAATACTAGTTCAATATTAATAGACGAAAATGACTCAAATACACGTTTATTGGATAAGAGCCAAAAAAGCAATGACAAAAACTGTGGACCTGGTACTGGCACTGTGGTAAACTTACCATTACCAATACGGCCTCTCAAGACCCACAGCTGAACCTGGACCGGTGACCGCAGTTTAATATTTTGTATTTGTTACTAGGAAGACGCTGCTGCTCATCTCCTTGACTGTTTCCGTCTGTCGCCTCTCACAACACGCACGGGACGACACGGCCTAGTGGATACTCTTACACCGCCAATACACGGTTAATTAATATTCTTACATCGCCACTACACGGTCAATTCAATATAAAAGCGTGAGTATGGGGAATCCCTCCATGAAGTATCCCCAAAGAGAGAGAACTTAAGTTCAGTAGCCTTTTACAGGCAGTTAAACAAAATGAGAATATCTTCATCTAATATATAAGAAATCTTTAAGCAACCCGTAAACTATTATTGCTTTAGGTTCATCAATTGAGTTTATCTATTAATTATCTAACTTAGAATATATACTTTTCATATAACAACACTTAAAGAATTTGATCAATTTTCGTTTCTTATAATAATTGCGTCTTTTCTCCTACCAAGATGAATTGCCGAAAATATCTTTATTCAACGGCGTGTTATTCAAAAGTTTCCCGAAAAGCTTCATGGACTCTTTATAAATGATATAAGGTGGCATGAAAAATGATTTTCTATGCTACTCTTTTCATATATACCGTTGCAAACTATTTTTCTTGCATGTTTTCGGTCTATTTTCATAACATATTCAATCTTATTACAATATTACAAACTTAATACAGGTAATCCTAATACAATAGTGCAACTAGTCTAAATACTTTAAAAGCATTTATCTTCAATTACTTAACATATTTTGTACAATGCAGTTCACAAAGAACCCACTCAGTGGACAACAAAACTATTATAGTCTATTTCTCTAGGTATTTGATTAAGCGTGCAGAGAGCACGTGTCAGGGGCGCCTAACGCATTATGTAAGTATATCCTTCCGCTCGGCACGGCCAGCAGTTGTGGCCGTCACCATCTCCCTAGGAATGTTCAATTGTTTTTCTAAATCAGAATTGAAAAAAAAGTTTATGAGTATCTTACAAATTTATTATGAAACCAGAGTAAGTTCCCTCCTAATCTTAAGCTCATATTCACAAGTGCCTTTTTTGATACATTGCGGCTTCCCATAATAGAGTAAAGAACCCTATTTACTCTATGTCCTCTTCCTTACCTCCTTTGTTCTAACTAAAATACTAACAAAATATTAAATTTGTAATCGCATAATCTCAATTGTTACTCTTTCGTAGCGGAGAGTCATTAATTGAGTTAAATACGATAAGAAAAGGTTTGTTAATGATCATGACATTTACTAACATTAACTTTTTCTCCATTTACAGAAACGACATTGTTGAGTCGACTTTTATCTACAACTTTTGCTAAACGTCTGAAAGATAAGACGAAACTATATAGCATATATAAATATTAGCGGTAAACATACAATATTTTCATGAATTTTATATGATGTCATTTAGCAAATTATTTGAGTATATGTTAAAATATAGAAAATCTGTAAAAGATTAAATTATTTAATTTTATGGAGCGAATTTATATGTACTAATATTTTTAGAGCCATTCTGTAGCAATACTATGGTTGTAGCACGATTGGGTCGGCTCGAATGGGGAAGGACGTGAAATAGCAAAATACCAGCTTAGTTACGCTGTGTTACATATGGACGGTGCAGAGAACCGGAGATCCTTTTTACTGGGAGGGAGGCGTTCAATCTTAGTCATCAGGGTAGACAACACCTCTGCATTTTAATTCCTCATCGGGGCAAGATAAAGATGTTTATGGACTACAGCATTGACTTACTCGTACAATAAGGTTTAATTGTGTGTCTTATTCTATTAAAAAAATTATTGCCAAGCACTGGGTCTAGTTAAGTGCCAGCCTCTTACCTATTTATGTCACATATATACGCAATGCACTAGTTATGATATAAGCAGACTCTATATGTATTCTTTTGCGCATGTATGTATGTATGTGCATAAGTTCCTTCAAATCTTCTAAACTAATAGCCATATTTTGACAAATGAGGTATCATTAGAAGCAACATCCGATTCCGCGGATCATAATAGGTTAAACGACGTCACGTGAAGTCCAAATAGCTGTTACTAACAAAAATGATTATTAAAATATTGTGAATAGTTCTAATAAAGGGTCTTATCGAGCACATACTGAATTACAATTTTTTATTTAAAATCCAATAAATACGGCAAAATTGCTCTTCCCAAATGATATACGTTGTATAACATGCTGACAAATTCAATTCGTTTGACATCTAAACAATCATGAAGTATACAACCTCCACAATAATTAATATCTTGACGATATTCGATGATCCATTTTACACGTACATCATTACGTGTAATAAAGGGCGTTCCACTCTATCCTTACTCTTAGATGTTTTAGGAAAGCTTTTCGTCACTAGCCGCTTACCAGAAAACCTTGTAATTTCCATTCCCTTTATATCCCAGCACACAGCATCTGTGACCCAGCATAACCTTATGATGTTTCATAAGTTATGTTGTTGGTGGTTTATTATGGAGTCCCAAAGAAAAAAATAGTAAAAAGTTAGTTATATTTCTTGTAGTTTACGTACAAAAGTCAACTTTGCTTTCTGCAGAAACTTTGTGTTGAAACGCCCCTGAAGACTTATATAACACTCCCGTGAGAACATAAGTTGATTAGTAAAAACAGATTTTAACAATGTAAAATAAATAAAAACATAAGGGGTTATTTTTTTCTTATTTCAACGAGGCAGATGTCGTCATCATCAGCACTTCGGCTTATCATGATATTTCTTTATGGGATTGTCATTGCCACGCTTGGCAGGCGAGTTGACATATATGAATTCTTACCAAGAACGCCCACCTTCTGTTTCAGTTTCCCTCAGGCAATAGCCTGTTACGACACCAATGGGATGATATAAGCTAGTGTACTTTCACTCCGCTAGTATATTAGGTCTAGCAAAATGTAACTTATATCTTATTCCAGACTCAGAACAAAAAGCAAGAAAATTAGAATACATCTAAAAGATAATAAATTGTATGCATATACACGAATTCCTATCATTAATTTTCCCTCGGTAACTTTTAATTTTCTACTACAAAACAACTACGAAAAATTATTACAAGGTATTAATCAAAACAGGACATTGTAATCACTATAATTAAAGCCCGTTGTTACATAGTACATGTACATTTATACAAAAAGAAATTCTATTGACAAAAAAAAACTTTTTACTCACCAATGTCACCAACAGATTCTCCGTAATCACCTTTACGTCTCCTGCAACAAATTAAATTAATTAGATATAAAATTTAAGTTCTTATTTAATAAAGAAACATTAGACTAATTCGGGTTTTAATAATGTTACTATCGTGTGTTTCACATAAGCGTATTTAAGCCGTGATGAAGAAGTTACTGGTTAAAGAGAATACTACTATTGCCATTATTAGAAGTCATTAATTTATTAATTCCAAACAATCAAAGTCACGTGCTAAATAAACATAGACCTTCCCTTAGATTGCCTCATAAAGAGAATATTTCACATTGTTAGCACGCTAGCAGGCGAGTTAACAACTGCATTTTTTATTTTCTAGTTGTTATCAGGAAGACGCTGCTGTCTATCTCCTGATTTGTTTCCCGGTGTTGCCTCTGAAGACACCCGCGGGACGATATGTGGTTGTGGTTATTCTTAAACCACCACTACACGGCAGATAGCAGAAGTATTCGTCATACATATTTTGCCGTCAGTCAAACCTATGCTTATTAAAGGCAATAACAAAACATTTTTATAATAAAAATAAATATGGAAGAATAACAAAGACAATAGTGAAAAAAAAACTACTAAAGGCGCGCAAACGCTTAGAATCGTTTTACGTGCATTTATTCGAGAGGAGCGTCTATCTCAAACGGTGTGAAGAACAACCGTGTACTGTCCCAGCGTTTGTGCTCGTAAAGTGGAGGACATAAATTATACTTTGAGACCCAACGTAAGCGACAGTTGGTTTTGTTTGCGAATTTATTGCGTGCTCGCGTCGGAATGACGATGCTTCGCTTATCTGTTTTGTCTTTTGTTTTCCAAAATGGTGAAATATTTTTGAAAAGAAGATTAGACAAGTTTTAAAAAAAAAGCCAACACTCAGATACGTATTCTTAGTTAGTTCATGTTAGTTGAATTCTAAAGAGCTCAGGAGATTTTTCTGACTTCTTAGTAACTAAAGATGCGGAAAAACTTCAGATTAGTATGTGAGTATAAAGTGGGCATAAATTAGTTTTCACCTCACACACACAGTTCTATTTTTATTACAACAGCTAAATCGCTACGTTGCTTCGCAGTTGTTCTTAGCATTCTTGCGCTTAGATGCTTACTAAAGTAGCGTTCATTATCTGATTACTTGAATGATTCGATTGTGATTGAAACTTGATAATACTAAAAAATGACTTCTAAAAACTAAAAGGAATATCATCATCGGTTGACGTGGTAAAAACTATTAGCACTTATGTCGTACCGATGCCTTTGCTTCATTACATTGAGTTGATTCTTATCATTAGACCATGACCACATTTGATAAAATTTATATGGACAGATCCTTGAGTCAGCTCATTGCTAACAAATTATCAAAATAAGACATTAATTGTTACGCACGTTGTTGGCACGCTGAACTTACATAAAAATATCAAGACAAATTAAGATCCTCCGTTTTTTTTTGAATTCGGTTCAAAAATCGAAAAAATACACTATTTTTCCTGAGGTTGGTTGGTGGTTTTTGTTTTTTATTTACATTTGTTATGGGGTTGTGGATATTCTCAAATCGCCACTACACGATCAATAGACTACACAATCAGACGCAAGAATCAATTTAAGTTTTTGCACGAATGTTGATTCGAACTTAGGATCCGTGGCGTATTTGAAAGGCAAAGTTCATAGCATTGGTTTCCTTTATTGATTACCTCTTAGGGGGTTATTTGCCATAGTTTTCGCGCTTGGCGGACGGGTTTGATATTACAGTTTTTTTATTTTTAAATGATGGCAACACGCTGCATCTATATGATGATTGCAGTACGTATGGGTCAGCTTGACTGGGGACAAGTACGTACGAATGGGTATCAGACTCAAAGAATCAGTCTTTCCCTGAATACCAGCGTAAAATAAAACCTTAATACTGCTGTATTTCGTTTGGTGAGTATAGAGATTTTTCTGATAATTAGGCATTCCATGTACGTCCTCAGGGATGTCAACGCTTTTTAATTTGTATTCTTAATCGAGCACGGCATCCACTTACCATTCGATAGTACTTGGACTGCATGCTCGTTTGTCACGCTTATCCTCAAAAAAAGGTTATTAGGAAGATTCTGCTGACAATTTTCTATTTCATGTGATGTGACTGAGGGAGTCGCCTCTTTCCACACCAACGTTATGATATGGAATAGGGTTTTGACTAAATTGCCATGTGAAAAATAGCTAACAATATACTTTAGAAGATACAAAACTGATCAAAATACTTTAATTTTAAATCGTATTGAATTTTAATTCTTTATATTATTATATTGAAGATAGACGTAGGACGTAAGACCACCTAGGTTTTATAACTTATAACAGTTTGTCGCTTTTACTTTAAAAGAAAACGAACAAATGACGTTGACTTTCGTTATGCGTTTAGCAACAGATGCATGTAATCAATAATTTTAGTAATTTTAAAAGTTGATTTTAAATTTATTTATAACACATAAAAACAAATTAGAACGTGGAATGTGATGATAGGATATCGAACATTAATAATGTGCTTTTAGATGTAGTTTATTTCTTATAACTAATGAGATAATAGTGTCTGAAAAACGCACTTTCGCAAAGTTTTAGTCAGGAATACGCCTTAATGTAGTATCATTACTTGCAGTAAGTATCATCCTTTTCAATAAAACATATGAGCTAAGGCGGCGCGGTACAAGCGTCTTAGATAAGTGAAGCACTCCGTGTTATTGCTTTTACCCACACACGTGTGTGCTGTGTGTACACATGTACCTTTAACGTGCACACTAGTGTAGGCGTTTTATCTGATGAAAATTTTAATTTTTAATGGGCCTGGATGAAATGAGAGAAAACATAAAGTAAAATAAATTAAATAAAATGTTGACATATACTTACGTAATGACGTAAGTAACAATTTATACACTAACATATAATTATTTAATTAATACATCGCTACCGTGTAATGGCAATATAAAAATATCCACTGCCCCAAATCTTTCCGTAAATATCGTAAGAGATGACGGAGGGAAATGAAACAGGAGAAAAGCAGCGACATCCTTTTCTTAACAACCTCAAAATAATAAAATCAGCGGTTGCCCACACGCCTCCTAAACACGTTAACTATGGCTCATCTCCAGTATTCCAGTCTATTCAGATACTTTGGCATATTGACTATCATGCGTAATTTAAAGTTAAGATGTTAGTCTTCGCCTGTCAGCATGCTAGGAATGGTTTGTAGAATCAAAGAAGTTCAAGACAATGTTTGGTCACGAACTATGATTTTAGATGGTATTTTATATAATTATATTATTTTGCATAATGTGTGTTTCACAGTTTTTTGAGAAATATTTTATACAGTACGATTAAGTGCTAATTCTGGTGCAGAATAATTATTATTTATGAGACCCTTTCTTCGTTCCTTTTACGTGATCTCTGGAAAAACGAGTGTGAGAACGTTAAACAGTTAAATGTAAAGTTACAACTTTTAATATGTCTCACTGCAAGGCAAAGGCCGCCGATCATTTCGAAGAGTTATGGAGCAATAAGTTCGCTGCGCACTTCCACTGTGTTGACAGACTTCACATGTCTTCGAAATATTTCATCAACTTTCTTTCACTTCCAACTCATGATGTATTTTCCTTTATGACTGAGCACATAGTTAATCAGCACTTAAAATGTCAATATCAATATCGTTGGTGCCGGTGGGGACCACAACACGTGCTGTGACAATTTGCAGTACTAGCTTAGCTACCACTTCCGAATCATATCTCTTTTCTGTAAAGCCACCTTCGTAAAGAGAGGAAGCCATTTGACTGTTTGTTTTTTGTATGTTACGTGATTTATTCATCAATTGTGAACGAAAAATTTCACCTTAAGGGTTGCAAAATAGCTGATTAAATTTTCAATAAAACCATTAATGTGATATTAAGATTGTGATGTTCCTTTAAACACTCAAAGCGTAAAGAAAACTTTTAATAAAATGTTAAAGCTGACATACAAAAACTATAAATAATACAATAAGTTTACGGTATGAAGTCGGGGCATTAATTCTTCTATACAATATGGCTCAGCACCAAATTCTTTGAAGAAGGATTTTGCTTTTTAAGAAAAGTTAATTTTTTGCGATAATTTTTATGAGGTTAAAAACGTACCTTTATACACTAATTTTTAAGTCCTAATCAACTTAAAGCTAAATCATACCAAATACATGATGTATTCGTTCCGTCACTAACTAAAAAATGTAAAACTGTTTGGGAAATGTCACACCGTGTACATTCATTATAGCGCTATACAGGTGTGACGTCTTCTATAGCATTGTATTTATTACAACTTAGCGGTCAGTTGCCGTAGAGTCTACATTATCTGAGGATGCATCGTGTAGAGGCGAAACACGTGTCGTATTATCGTCGATGGTGTGTCTTACCTGGAATAGTGGTGTTGGAAGTAGTGGTGCCGGGAGTAAACGACTAGTGGTGACGGAGTTAGTGCATGCAATTGAGGAAGGGCGGGAGGTGATCTTCAATCCAGGTAAGACACATCATTGTAATTAGTTAGCGGAAGGTTGCGAAGTAATTAATTATTTATTTTTATTACAACTGTTGTTGAAACGTGCCCGTGCACGCGCATGCATTCTGTTTGTACGTTTTCTAAAATAATTTGTAGATTTAAGCGTTACTAAACGAAAATTGACTAAATTAAATATGTTAAATTATTAAAAATTATGTTTTTTTAGGGTTACGTAGTCAACTAGGAACCCTTATAGTTTCGCCATGTCTGTCTGTCCGTCTGTCCGTCCTCGCTTAATCTCTGTGACCGTTAGCACTAGAAAGCTGAAATTTGGTACCAATAGGTATGTGTATCAATCACGCCGACAAAGTGATAAAATGAAAATTGAAAAAAAAATGTTTTATTAGGGTAGCCCCCTTCATATGTAAAGTGGGAAGTGACTTTTTTTAATTTCAACCCTAACGTGTGATATATTGTTGGAAAGGTATGTGAAAATGAATAGGGGTTTACTAAAATCATTTTTTGATAATGTCAATAATTTCGGAAATAATCGCTCCAAACGTAAAAAACAATGTGTCCCCCCCCCTCTAACTTTTGAACCATAAGTTTAGAAAATATGAAAAAAATCTGGAAAGTAGAACTTTATAAGGACTTTCTAGGAAAATCATTTTGAACTTGGATGGAAAGAACAGTACCCACTACCGGAAGCAGTTGCAGGAGCGCGGAGCGCTGCTGGAGCGCGAACATAATGGATACCCACCTTTAAACTCATAAGTGGGAACACTTATTGTGACGGAGGGGAAACTACGGAACCTTACACTGAGCGTGGCCCGACACGCTCTTGGCCGGTTTTAAATAGTTTGAAATGCACCTCCCGCAATTCTACAATTGCGTTCGCTATCCCCTTCAGTACTATCCCCGCCAGTACTTATCCCAACATAATTATTCCCAACATTAATGATGTTAGGAATAATTATCTTATACTAAGTTTTCTATACAAATATGGTTTTAAATATACTTACTCAGAATATAGTGTTGGCAAATTCTTGGTCACGTTATATGGATCATCTGCAACAATGAAATAAAGTTCGTGTTAGTATAATAATTAACTTGATATATGCTATATCTGCAATTATGCAAATATGTAAAGTTAAAGACCGAACTAAGAGACGCTTATCGAAATAAACCTCCTAATTTAAAGCTACACACATATAAAACAAGACAAAAACATGAGTATTTCAAATTAATATGAATCAAGTCCTTTTGATAGGGATCTTCATATTCTCTTTTAAGCTTTTAACCACCTGCCCGAAGGAAAATGATAATATACGTCGAGTGTATATATAATATAAACATATATTTATAGGATCAGATAAACGTATAAAAATTATGTAAGTTGGTATGTGGTATGTTTCTTATTGTTTGTTGGTATATCTGTTGTATGGTCGGCTCGACCGAGGAAGGACCTCGCTCTAAGTTAACACTAGCGTAAAATAGTGACCTAATACTACTGAGTTTCGTATGGTGAGTATAGAGTAACGGAGACCATTTTACCGAACATCTTAGTCCTCAGGAATGAAAACGCATCAGCATTATGAACATTAGTCGAGGATACCTAGGTGATGTATGTATACCTAGTAAACGATGGTAAGAGCTCGTTTGTCGCCCGTATTCTATTAAAAATGTATGTATGTATGAATTTGTCCGATCTTTTGTAGCATACTGTACTTTAAACGGCTTGACGTATTTCAGAATGCACTAAATTTTATGTTAGTCATAATATCCTCCTGTCGAATTCAGTTTTATAGTCCACCAGTGTGTTGTGCACTATAATCCGGTCCTGCGCATACACTCGCATTGCACTTTCTATTCCTTCAATCTCACTGTCTGATGGGACGTCAATCCCACATGACCGAAACGAGATCAGTCGCAGGACCAGCGGCTCTACGTGCTTTCCAAAGCAAGGAGTAAAACACCTGACTCCGAGCTGCCACTCTGAATTTCTCTATAGAAATGTTTAATAATTGATGATTTTTGCCCGACCAGGATTCAAACTCACTAGAGCAATTAGCCTATAAAAGTATTATTAATATTGTAATAAATTGTGACAGTTGCAAAAATAAAACAACAGTGCTTTTACGAACGTGTTAATACAATAACGGCAAGTCTCCGGGCGAGGATAGAATTACAGCGGAGCTTCTGAAAGCGGTTGGAAAACCGATACTTAAAGTCCTTCTGAAATTCTTCAATTCCGTCCTCCATGTACTCATAGCACTACTCCGGAGGCGTGGAGCAGAATTACGGTGGTCTTGTTCTTCAAGAAATGTGACAACGCTCTCTTGAAGAACTACAAACCAATTTACTGCGTTGCGTCTACGTGCTGTTTTCGAGAGTCATTACGATTCGTCTCGCACAAAGACTTGACGACTTCCAGCCTCCCGGACAAGCCGGTTTCCGAAAAGGCTTAAGTACCATGTACCACATACATACATACCCTTCAGCAAATTGTACAGAATTCCGAAGAGTACAATCTGCCACTTTGTTTTGCGTATGTGGACTATAAGAAAATCTTTGAATCCATAGAAATTTGGGCGGTGCTGCAGTCCCTTCAGCGGTGTCAAGTGGACTGTCGGTATATCGAAGTGCTGAAGTGTTTGCACAATACGGCTACGATGGCTATCCGATTACAGAACCCGTGTACGAAACCTATCCAACTGAAGAGAGGTGTAAGACAGGGTGACGTAATATCCCCGAAACTCTTCACCACTGCATTGGAAGACGTTTTAAAGCTACTGGACTGGAAATGATACGGTATTAACGTCAATGGCAAGTACATCAGTCGCCTTAGATTTGTTGAATATGTAGTGGAACAGTACTGAAACGAGAGGCCGTTAAAGTTTCTATGTACGTACGTGCATATATTATCCTAGTTTTAAATTAAAATATGTTTTAGTTATGTATTGGTTCAGGCTAGATTTAAAAATAAATCCACAAACATACTCATATTATTAAAAATATATCTCAAATATGTTTATGAGTTTTCCATCTTTAAATGCTTACGTTGACCTATTTTTTCAAGGCTTATCGGCCGATTTGCAAAGCGCTCCACCTGTCATTACCATAACCAACCCGCTGTCACATATCGTTTTCAGTTCATTCAATGTCCCGTTTGGTCAAACTGAACCGTATATCGCAGTAAGTATAAGATATAAAAATTAAAATTATATTTCTTCGTAAATAGCCTTTAAAAAACAGTGTACTGCTGGCTTTGGATTATCTTTATTTTATATAATTCTTACGAACGTTTGTTTTTCACTGAACTCCTTTCAAACGGCTAGAAAATTTTGAAAAATACACTTAAACGCAAAAATATTTTTTTTGTGTTGTGTGGGTCTCTGAATGGTTTAGATTCACAATTTGACTCGGTAAGTGACGCCGTTGTTAAGATCTTTGTTTTTCCTATATTATGATGATGATTTTTTTATAAAGTAAATCATAATTCTATTTTAGAAAGTTAAAAGTTTAAAATAAAACTACAATACAATATTTAACTTTATTAGGTTTTTAAAATAAATTGAAGGATTTTAGGACTAAAAATAACTGCTTATATCTGAATTTAATCTGAATTATGAAGATGAATTGGTAAACTAATGAGTTTTTGTGAGTTCATTCAGTCGTTAGTCTGGTAGTCAAACGCATGACTGCTGATCATGTTCACTAATTTAGGCCCGAACCGACCGGCGATTATCGGGAAAATAATATTATCACGTCTTTCTCTGGAGTAATTCTCAGTAGCAGGCCGGAGTCAATAGTTAGCGGTGCTTCACTCCCATGCCTCCAAAAGCATGTAACGTTGGTCATGCGTCTGATCCATCATTATATCTATGAGAGTGAGAGAAAAGAAAATGCACCTAGGCTTGCAGTAAATACTCGTGTACTATAATTCCGTTCTGTGCAGATGGAAACTGGACGCCGTAACCAAATTCGGTCTGAAGGACGTTATATTTAAATTATAGTACTCGTATATTATGAGCAATGGGTGTTATTGTTTGGTTGCGGAAATATTTAACAGAGTGGTATCAATTGAATAAAACTATTATTTACGGATTTTATCGCGTTTAATTACTTTAATTTTTTTTTTAATATTATCCCGACGTTTCGGGTGCTTTACAGCGCACATGATCACGGGGGGACTGAGATGTTTGACGTCCCAATGTCATAGTTAGTCCGGCTACCTTCAGTTTTTTTAATATTAATTTAACGTCGGGATAATAATAAAAATAAATTAAAGTAATTAAACGCGATAAAATCCGTAAATAATAGTTTTATTCAATGTGTAGTGTTCGCGTAAATTTAAGAAATCATTATGTGAACCAGTACGGACTGGTAATAGCAAATAAAATTCGCCGATTAGAAGATCTTAAAACCAAGCGCGCAAGATATATAACATCTTTAAATTTCTTGAAGAGATGCAGAGACCATAATCTCATTCCTACGTGTGTCAAAATATCAACAAAGAAGGACATTCGAGGAAGCGCTAAGATCTTAAATCAGGCAAGTAAAAAAGTTGTTACGGACGGTGATTCAGCAGAAACGGTTCGATTTACATTTCATAAACAACACCATAGACAATTTGTCCAGTGAACTAAAGACAATTTTAACGACATTTGATTTTAATAATTGCATCGAAACTTTAAACAAACGAGAAACATCAAAATACAATGAATGCAAAAATAAACAAATAGAAAAATACCAAAAATTAACGATCAAATTAAATGCCAAACATCCAATTCAACGCTAGAACAATAAACAACCGTTGACCATAGACACAAACTATTAACAACGCACTGTCTATAATTTGTCAAAACATACACTGGACGAACCGACAATGAAAGTATTAGCGAAAGGAATGAACTTCGCATTAACTCCGCGAAAAATCCCGTACGAAGAAATTATCTGCAGTGTTGAGGATTGTCTGTTTAAGAATAATATCGGTAAGGAAGATTTGGAGGCAGTACTTCAAGATATTTCGTCGCTGTTACGTAGTTCAGCGCCGAAATCAAACCTTCCTAAAAACGAATTTACAGCGCTAAATAACTTACGGAACAGACCAGAACTCACGATTCTCCGCGCGGATAAAGGAAATGCTACGGTAGTAATGGACGCGTCGGAATATAATTTTTAAAATACAACAACTTTTATCGGACGAAAGTACATATAAAAAGGTCAAAACAGACCCTACAACTAACACGCTTAAAACAACTAGCGATTTAATAAAGAAATACTCCAAAAAATTAAATCTCGACGTGAATTCGCTAATACCATCATGTGCCAAACCACCGAGGTTGTATGGGTTACCGAAGATACACAAACCAAACGCTCCACTACGTCCCATAGTGAGCCAGATCGATTCACCAACTTATAAGCTGGCACAATACTTAGCAAAAATACTATCACCACTAAGAGGACATACCAGAGCACACACAAAGGATTCATACCATTTTGTAAGTGAGATAAAAGACCTACATCTCGCTAACAATGAAACTATGGTCAGTTTTGATGTTCAGTCACTATTTACATGCCTACCTATTGTGGACTGCATATCAATTGTAACTAGGAAGCTAGAATATAATAACATGCCTGCTGAATATGCAGTATTACTCAAACACTGCCTCACATCTGGCTATCTATTGTGGAAGGAAGAGTTCTACAAGCAAGTAGATGGTGTGGCGATGGGTTCACCTGTATCTCCCATAGTCGCTGACATATTCATGGAGGACCTTCTTACTGCTCCTGTAAATCCAAGATTCTACAAGCGGTACGTAGACGACACTTTCACAATTTTACCATCTGACAAAGTAACTGCATTTTTAAACCACCTTAACTCTATAAACTCTAAAATACAATTCACAATAGAGTTAGAGGCAAATAATTCTTTAGCTTTCTTAGATGTTTTAGTCATTCGAAATCCTAATAACACAATTGGTCACACTGTGTATAGAAAAAAGACCCATACCAACCGATATTTAAATGGTGAATCTCACCATCATCCTTCACTAGCTACCGTGGGTAAATCTTTGTTTCAGAGAGCACGAGGGATCTGTGACAGAAAACATCTGGCCGCGGAGCTTCAGCACGTCAAGCAAGTATTGCAAGACAACAAGCTTCGGGTCCCGCGCCTACGTCACAGTGAACGAGTGAAGCCGGCCACAGTCGAGCGCGCGCCTGCTCTACTACCATATGTTAGAGGAGTCACGGACAAGATTGACTACATCTTGAAGCGAGCGTCCATTAAGACATACTACAAGCCGCTGAAGAAGATTAGTCAATTTTTACCATCCATCAAATGTAATATTCCTCTACAAGATGCAGGTGTGTACAAGCTAGATTGTGAATGTGGTCTCTCTTACATAGGTCAAACAAAGAGATCTATAAAAACCCGCGTGAAGGAACATATAGCTGATGTGAAGCACCGACGCTCCGGGAAGTCTGCAGTCTGCGAACATGTTCAAGATCGTCCCCACCATTACATTAGATTTGATAAACCACAAATTCTCGCAAAAGAACACCGATTCCTACCAAGGATGATACCCGAGGCTATTGAAATTAAAAAACATCCAAATTTCAATAGAGAAGATGGTTGGGTGCTACCATCTGCTTGGGATCCTATAATTAACAAAATTAAACCCAAACCCAAGCATACCACTGCAAGACTTCATGATACTATAAGCTAGTTTTGCGTAAATCGGACCAAAAATTAATATTAAAAAACTGAAGGTAGCCGGACTAACTATGACATTGGGACGTCAAACATCTCAGTCCCCCCCGTGACCATGGGCGCTGTAAAGCACCCGAAACGTCGGGATAATAATAAAAATAAATTAAAGTAATTAAACGCGATAAAATCCGTAAATAATAGTTTTATTCAATGTGTAGTGTTCGCGTAAATTTAAGAAATCATTAGAGTGGTATCAACTCTAGCAGGCTACTAGTCTTGTGACTTAAAAATTGTGTTAAGTGTTGAAGTTAAAGTTCCAGTTTATATTAGTCCAACTGCTGGGCACATGCCTCTTCTGATTTCCGAGAAGATTTAAGGACAAAGAAATGTCCGCCGCGCTGTACCAATGCGTGTTAGTAGCTTTATATGTTTTCTAATTTTTTTCTTATTTCTCAGTAATGTAGGTTCCCTCACGATATTTTCTTTCACCACCGAGCACGTGGTAAATCAGCACTTAAAATTGCAATCAACAATATCATTGGTGCCGTCGGTGATCGAACGGTGATCGAGCGAGCGCTTAGCCCGTGAGCTACCACAGCTTAAAAATAATAATGTGCCTCTAAATAATATTTTTAAACGCTCCATTCTGTAGTTACCGTTACCATTATTATTACAGCTTATTGAAAGTCTACTGCTGAAGATAGGTCTGCTCGTAGATTGTCTCAAAGGATAGGTGCCATCTGTGCCACGCATGGTAGGTGGGTTAGCTATCATAGTTTTTGAAGTGAAACTTCTTAAGCGATTTCGTAGATTTTCAAGAAAACCGTACTAATTTTTTTCAAATTTGTACGTTTTCTTATAACGTTTCACTACCGGAGCTACATGAGTATAGGGTTAAAGATATTTTATTCTCAAAAGAAAATATACATTTCCCTAAATGAGAAGTTACAATATTCAAGTTATAATTGGATTATGAGCATACAGATTGCAAATAAAAATACACACATTAAAAAGACAGGAAAGAATACACTATAGTTTAACCTACTTATGTAAAATAAAATAAGAGTGACATGTTGTAAAGGAGCTTCACTTTGTACGTGTGTACACAATTAAAAGCACTTTTTAATTTCTTAATAACAAGATTCTGCTACATATCTCCTTGTTTGTTTCACACTGTCGCCTCTTATGACATCCAGTAGTGGATATTCCAACACCGTCACAAAACAGTCAAGAAAATTCTGTAATAAATTAAACGAAAATATTCAAGAAAGTTAAAGACTACTGGC